CAGTAGAAAAAATGAAACGTCAATCGACAGCAACTTGATTTTATTACTTTCCACTAAGATATTGTATAGGAAAGGAGAAAAAATAACACAAACAAATTTGAAAAAGAATGAATCCAAACAGAAACGGATTGATGAATGATTAAAATAAAAATAAATTATTAAACAGATCATTCATATTATAAATAATATTTTTATTTTCTGCAAAAAACAAAAAAAGTGGACGAAAAAAAGAACCAATATGGGCGGAGAACATTTGAATTGTTTGTGTGTTGCTGAAATTAAATAAACAAAAACAGAATGAGATGATGAAGATTGTTTATTTATATGTAACTGAAATAATATAAATGATAAAATGTACATCAAATTATTATACATATTGAATAAAAAAAAAAATTTAGTGCTTTTTGATCAAGTAATGTATGAGAACTGTAAGCACCAATTAGACCATCAAAAGATTGATTTCCTGGGCCGATGTGGTATAATGTTTACGATAATTGCATAAAGTATCGGATGATTTTCGAGAAATATTTAATTTACACGATCAATATTTCTCAATCGTATTTCAGATCTTCTAATAGATTCATAAGCGTAAAGTTCAAGCAATTTAATTAATAGCATAGATCATGCTTATTAGGAATGATCGGATAAGAGAATAATTGATACTTGATCAAAACACTTTGGAAAATCATTTCATATAATGATTTATTTTTACATCATAATAAATTACAATTCTTGAATAAATAAAACGTATCATCGGAGCATATTCTTCAGAGATTTCGTCTATGATTAAAATTAAATTTGCTTCAACTTTCGATACAAAACAAGCATACTTGTTTTCTTCCAATTAAACGGTAATAATGGACAAAAGATTAATTAGCAAAAAAAGACTAGAAAAGAGTACACAAATATATTAAGAAAGACCTGTATGAGTTGATGAATATAATATAAAATGGTATTACATAAATTAAAGTATGCAATATTCACAAAAAAACGAACAAATAAGAGACCAATTGAAATTCAAGCTTTTAACCCGATTGATGTACTGATTTGCGTTAATTTTTCTCAGGTTGTGATAGGAAAAATTTGATCACTTCAAATCATTACTACCCAGATATGTAACTTTTATAAGAGACAAGTCAATAAATATTTACATTTGAAAATTCCAATTTCAATTTATAGATTTCAATTTATTGGAATTTATCGAGTTCAACTTTTTAATAGTGGCTGAATGCCTAATCGATTTAAATGAACATAAAATAGAAGAAAAGAATAATCAAACAAATTTTTCCATTGTATCACAGAAAGCAAAATGTAAATTGCATTTCCATTTATATCTTTGTTTATCAAATAATGGTTAACACAACACTGGCAAGATAATCAAAGCATTCAAATTAATTTTTTCATGAAACTTTGATATATTAGCTAAATTTGTTCGCATAATTGGCGTTTGCTATGAATTTATAGCAGCTTCCATTTCAACCTTAAGCTTTGAATTTGATTTATCCGATGAAATTTTCCATTTATTTATTTATTTTTTCAGATGAAGCATTGCAAATTCAAAGGGTAAGAAGGAAAATAAGCAAATTTACATAACATAATTACTCAAGGAATCGTTCTATCAATCATTTTCAAAATTTTTTTTACTGGTCTTAAAAATATGATGGATAGCTCCAAGAGGTGGAGATATTAACTGTTTGATAGTTGTCCAATTATATTTTTATCCAAAATATTTTAAAGTTTTATATAAAATCATAAGTTGTAACGAAAGATCATTTATGCAAATTTGCTTGTTTAATAAGACAAAAACATAAATCATTCATACATAGCAAGTAGCAACGTGATAACATAGTATATTTGAAGGATATCACTGGTGAAATTTTGAACTCGCGTCACTTCTTTATCACTCTTTATCACTCGTTTTAAACTATTTTTCATCCTCCTATACGCTAATAATTAGCAGAAGCAATAGCGGTTTTGAGCAATTTCAAGAATGAAAAATTAAGAGATAAAATACAAATATAATAATTGTTAATTTTTTATTTGTTAAAAATAATTGCATACAAGTTATTAAATGGAACAAAAAATTAAATACATCAATTGGTTTTCTCAATCTTTGCACTCCTTTTCCAAAAGAGAATAAAATTTTAAACAAGTAGTTTGCAATTCCCAATTTGATGATCAGATCGATCTAATTGATCTTCTGCTACCTAACAAATTTACTAATTTTATTATTTCAGATTGAAATTACAAATATGATTAATACGTAGACAGTAGTAGCTATTCATTATAGATATGATGATTGTAAGTGTCATATAATTGCGCAATTTTGGAAACAAAAATTATACACAATAATAGTAATAGCAATAAAGGAGAAATTAACGGATCACTATCGGCTATTAATGATCCATCCAAAAATCATTATCAAAACAATAATAATAATAAGAACAACAATAACACCATCAGCTATAACGATGAATAGCAATGAGAAGATGTATGCATTCATTTAAAATAGGAAAAAAGAAGCCGAAGCGACAAGCCGTCAATCAATTTCGATTATCCCGAGATAATATTAAGGGAATGAACGACAACAGCAGCGGTAACAACAAACAACAGCAATAACAATAACACAACAAATAATAAACAATATCAACAATAATAGCAACAGCTGCAATAATAAGCTAATAGCAATATTAATTATCTGAACTAATAGTTAACAAAATTAATTAGTTCAATCTTTTTCATTTTCATTGTTTTTACTCATTTACTGGATCTCAAATTTTATTTAATTTTGATAAATGTATTTTAACAAAAACGAAAAAATTTTTTATCCTCTCTTTTATTGAAAAAAATTTTTTAATGGTTAAATTAAAGGGTTTGTGTAAATATCATCATTATCGTAAGAAGCAACAATGAGCATTTACAACCTTTAAGATTATAATTATAAATTAGAAATAAAAACTGCCGGTTAAAAAAGTTATTTATTTATTCAATTCGTTTCATTTCATTTAAAACTTTTTTTTTTTGGTTTTACAGACTTGAAGTTTGAAGTCCTCCATTAAATTAATCTTCCGTAGTAAAATGAATAAATTTGGAAGAATTGAATTTGCTCATTGCCGACTCTGTGCTGATATAAATGATTAATTACATGCATGGAAAAAGCTCGTTAATGAAACTGAAAAGTATTATTTTTGGATCAGCAAAAAAAATCGAAAAAAGCGGCGTAACTTTTGAAGGCTTTCATTTTACTGATTGTCTCATTTTATGAAATTTTTAAGGTTACAGTTGGGTCCATTCATTGATCAATCATACAACGAGCTAATTTCTTAAATCCTAACATTTCTTTTTTTTCGAGTTTTCAGTATCTTATGCAAATTAAGCTACGCCACCAATTCAATACACAAACATTCACTTAAAGATAGAGGCATCGATCAGTGGTTGTAGGAAAATAAACAATCTAAAAATCAGTCCATAAGATACCGGTAGGTGTTCTTAGGGTTGATGATTGTACTGATGGAACTTTGTCGGTAATTTCATCCTTGGAGGCGCAAGATGCTCGAGAAGAGGTTGATTCATCGACATATGGTAATGTTTCTATGCTTTCTTGCATGCTTCCCTCGATGATTGGCTGTGGTGCTACCGAATTTACTGATTGCTTCAAAACAATGGAAGGAAGAGGTGGTGGTGGTGGTGGAAAATCATCGACATTAGCTGAATCCATCAATTCATGCCCAACGATAGCTAATCCGTCATTTCTCAACTGCTCTTTATTTCCTTTCCGAATTTTCAAAGACTGTTCTATTTCAGTTTTAAAATCAGAAGCGACATTTACATTTATGTACATCCGATCATTCTGTTTCAAATCTTTCGTCATTCTTTCACACCTTTCATCATTCTTCATAACACACATTACTTCTTCATCATTATCATTTAAATTAGGCTGTGATATTGCACCAATCTGTTGTTCAGTTTTCGCACTCGGTGGAATGTTAAAACGGACAGGTTGAGTTTGTCGACGTGGATCGCCGCGACGGCCACGTTTTGCAATTGAAGATTTCTCAACATTTCGTCTTCGTAGCAAATATTCCAAAACATCGCCAGATTCTGGCGTGGAAGATGATAAAGAATGGTCTTGAGAAGAGAAATTTTGTGGTGAAGGTAGTCGTTTTTTGGGCACTAAATCGAGGGATTTTCTTCTCCTCAAGCTCTCCGGACTACGTGATGATGATAATGACCTGTGCAAATTACTGCTCTCAATAGTGTTAGCTAAAACTTCTGAAATCGTATTCTTACTACTGGTATCTTTAAAAGTTGAAAATGAGCCTTCAGCTTCGGTAGGTATATTACGCATCGTAAGTACGTATGGAATATCGCTGTTGAAGAGATGGCATTTCTGAATTTCGGGGTAATCCTCACTTTGCACCGAAATTAGTGTTGGCCGATTCAGTTCACGCGTTCTTGATGGTGCTGTGCAAGATGGAAGAGCCTCCTCTTTTTGAAGATTTACTACCGGATGATTTGGTTTTGATTCCGATATACCTGAGACTGAAGGTGATTCTGTAAAAGCGGTTTCTGAAGTGCAACTGAGATTTTTTGGTTTCGGAGGTACCACCGGTTTCGGTTTTCGTTCTCGATAACCCTCTGGTGTAATCACCAAATTCTCTTTAGTTATAACTTTACCCGGCAATGGTCCAATCGCACCATAGGTTTTAGGAGCTTGTTGCGGTTGAGCTATTATCATATCGCTTTGACCGCTATCTGAGGTATGAGTCAAAGTAACATTACTATAGATATTCTCGCTGGCGCTTATGTCATCCTTATCTTGAATTATTTTTGGCCTCTGTAAAATGGTACCTTTCGAAGTATATACAATTTTTGAATGGCTTGATTGCACTTCCTTGGTGCATGAGACAGAAGGTTGAGATTCAACAGTTATTGGCCACCGATCTGATTCATCATCCTTCATGATAGGTGCACGAATTGAAGTCTGTGATGGAGTGGTACCTTGTACTTTTGACATTCTATTGATTTCCTTTCTACTACTCAGCTTCCTATGCTCATCTAAATTGACATTTGGTCCATCAATTTCGATTGGTACCAATTTTTGGTGTAACGGATATTCCGCATATGAAGCTGGTGCTGATGATGAATGCTTTCTTTCAGTGTCAAATCTTCGTTGCGAATTAATTTCAATCTGAGTATTTTTAGATGGTTGCTGCTGATAAACCTGTCCTGAAATTTCTCGTTGATTACGGTCAGTCTCCATTTTCCTTCTACCACTATCCAGTCGTCTTTCGGCATATGGATCTTCATCATCGGTGGTGTTAGGTGTAGAACGAGTATTTGAAACAACTTTCTTAACAATCACATTACCGACACGTTTAGCTGTGAAAGTGGTAGCATAAACAGGATTCATTGGGACAGGCTGAATATCGGAATGTGCTGATCGTAATTCATTATCTGATAACTTATAAGAGCCTTCACTGATGTTATCATAGTCACGTGGTGGTTGATGTAGTTCCAGGAAATTATCACCAGATGCAGATTTAGGTGGACATTCACATTTAAGCTCAAATTCACGACAAACAATTTGTACATCATCACCGAGTACATTTGGCAATGATACCGATGTGATAGCATCATTATCTGCTGTATTACGAATATTATCAGCATTACCCGTTGCCGCTATTGCTCCTGCTTTTACAGATTTAACAGTGGATTGTTTCAGGGGTTTAAAATCAGGTTGCTTGTACCGCGAATTCATGGTACCACCACCAGCCAATGAACATACATCATTACTTTCCATATCACTCAGACACATTCGTTCACCGTTCACCGCCGCAGCACTACTGTTATTCGGATAGTTCTGCGAATTTCGATGGCGATGATTACGAGCACTGGCAGTGGTACCATATCTATTCAGAGTTATCTCACCGGGAAAGTAACTCGTTAGTTGCTGACCTGTACCTTGACCACGGCTCTGGCTACTTATACATGGACCACGATTCATCGACCATTCTCCATTCATGCAATACATTGGTGCCTTTCGAGAAGATAATGTCCCAGAACCAATCAAATTCACTGATCGTTCGCTCACTGTTGCATAAGGATGATCCATATCAAAGAATGCCGGCCGTGACAGTCGACCATTAGATGATGATGAAAGGCCTGATTTAATTGGCCTAAAAAAATTTCTTTTTAATCCATCTTATTTTTACACTACAAACAATTTTTTGAAAACATTGCAAATAATTGTTTTAAATTTTACAAACCTTGTGAATGGTTCTCGTCGTTTTCTATGTTCTCGAATATAATCAATTAATTGCTTCTGAGTCCTACCCTGGTATCTGCAAAAAAAGGAAAAGAAAAAATCCTAACTTTGAATGATTCATGAAGTTGAAAATATGAAATGTTCACAAAAATACATTCAGTAATCCTTTACAACCATATGAACGGAATAATCTCAATTTTCAACAATAATCATATCCGCATTAAAAAAAAAAAGAAAAAGCACTTCTACTTCAATATTCCAACAAAGTGATTAGAGGAAGTGAAATTAAAATAAAAACCATACCTAAAAGCGGAGCCTTTACTGAAAAAACGACCTTCCCGAGTTTTTTTCACTGGTAATACTTCAATACAACGGAAAAATGTATGATGCTCAACGCATTTTTTCCAGAAAATTTTGCACTCATTTCTACTTTCAAATAAAAATTCGATCGTTTCTTTATAATATTGCTGCAAAAAATTTTAATAAAATAATTTTCTTAAATTACATGAATTTCTATTCCTTGTATTATCTCCATTAAATCTCTATTCTGCACGTTTTGCTATTCTTTGGAATGTACTTGTCATAAAGAAATATGAAATGAAATTTTAATACCTCATAATAGTGGGATGAATATACGTTGCTTAGATTAGTTAATTCTCAAATTACAAAATGAAAAATTAAACTGAAAATAATTTGGTTTTTCTTTATAAATTCGGAAAAAAATTTTGTATTTGCGAAATGATTAAAACTTTTTCAAACTTCCAAATTTTCTATTCAGGTAATCGGGAATTTTTTCAGGAAAGTTAGCTTACGTGACTTTCCGGATGTAGCTTTATTAGCAATTTACGACGTTTAAATGATAGCTTCCGGATTTTAGCCCAAGAAAATGTTGAAACACATTGAAACTGATGGAATACACGAATACCCATATGAGCAATTGTTAGGCTTACTTCGGTACCTTCCACATCCTGCAAATTTGCACTTGTTTCGAGAGATTTTGAATATATGAAATGCAAATTATCAGCCCTTTGCTCCTTTCAAATTAACTTTTCAATTCCTATTCAAGTTATTCTTTTCACATAATGGAAATTTGTTTATGAAAACATTTAAAATGATTTTTAATGCCAATTATCAAATCTCACTAATGAGAAGATATTAGAATATCATCAATTATTATTTTGATATTTTATTACATCTAAATTTTTATGTAGCAAAAAAAAGTCAAACATACTTTAGCAACATGCAACTTCACACCATAATAATCACAACGTCGTGCCGTTTCGAGAAGAATCAAATCACTTTCGCCGGGACTCATGCCACTGAAAATTTTTGACTCATGCCATTCAAAATTTTAAATTACATGAATAATTTAAATTTTATCATTTAACAATAATAGATGAATTATACTTGAACTTGTACATTACAACAGGGAGCAGAGTAAAAACTCATAAATGCTGTAATCACTATATAATGATGTATAATTATATCCATGATTGATTGATTGATTGATCTACATCCAAACAAATATTAAACTAACTTCTATGATAGCTAAATAATAATATTTAATCCAATGAATTAAGAAATCCAGTTCAATTTATCTCACGGATATAACGAAACTTTTTCCTTAAATTTTTCATTTGTTTGCCCAAAATTTTAATTAATCAAAAAATCAAGTTAGCATTTTTGTTCAGAAAAAGTCAAAATATTTAAGCATACATACACCAATTTCATATGATTTTCCATAACTTTTCGCTGGAATTCCGCACTCTGATTTGGTATAAATCGTGCACTTGACAAATAGCTGTCATCCGGATAGTCTTCAGCCGCAAAATCACCACAATCCGACTGAACAATATATGAAGCCAGAAGGGCAGCTGTGTTCTCATTGCATAGCAGTTCACCCATTGCAAGATCACGCTTAATTTGTAACGCAAATAAATACCTGAAAAAGGATGAATTTACTTTGGAATTTCTCACAAAACACTTTCCTTAACGTAAATAATTATGGAAGTGGAAAAAAGTGTAAATTCAGGCTTTCAAAGAAAAAAAATTATAAGCTTATATAAAGGTGACGTTAAATTGTAAAATAAAACAATTAGTCTAACATTGAAATAGAAAAAAGCAATGAAAGAAATAATAAAGGAAAAAAAAATTGAACTAATTATTGATTGTAAATTTGATAAAATCATATTGAAGTACATTAGTTAATTTCTATTTATCAATTTTATCAATAAGGAAAAAAGTTTTGATAAAGTAAACTTCAAAAAGGAAAAACAATGATTCGGTTGAGATAAAAAATCAAAATCAACCAAAATGATATAAAATACAATTAATAGCTTTTTTATTTTTAACGTTGAGAAATTTTCACAAAAACTGTTTAAAAAAAAGAAGCAAAAATTGAAAAAAACACCTCGTATATTCTTCAACGAGATCTGCTGGATTTGGTGTGTAAAATTTAACGATGAAATAGAAACGAGCATCGCTACGAGTTGTGGTGATTTGTCGTAAGATAGGCTTATCTTTATCCAACCAACACTGAAAGTTCATTTAGAAGTAGCATGTGTATTATATCTGACAGTAACAACTAGAAGAGAAAAATGAACAAGGAATAATTTAATTAAGTAATTTAATGAAATTTTTTTTATTTTGAATATTCAGGTGCTATAAGTTAGCAAATGAATATGCGGTATTTGAGGAATTATGAAATTAGTAAATGAAACATACGCGATTGCCGTAGCAGTCAGTAAATTCAAGACTGAAATAATCACATTCCAGCAAATTTAAATGACGGCATACTTCATCGAATAATGCCTGTCCAAGTGCTTTATGCTGCAGCATTAATTGATTTGAGTATAATTCACTTCAAATTAATTTTATTTAGCTAAATCTTAGCTAACTAATAAATGAATGACATTGTCTTCTTGTTAGATCAAATATTCCGCTATTCATTAACACTTTTATTGCAATTTCTACTTCGTGATGAATTGATATGATCATTTCCGATTTGATCGCAAATATCATTTATCTAATTTTATTAATTCGACTGACTGAAATCTAAAACTTAATAAAAACATTGTTATTATCTTATGTTCGTGTGAGTTAATGTAAATGTAATACAGTAAGTATACTTAGTAAGCATACTTACCCCCAAATGAAATACACCAACAGAATCGTCAAGCATGCGAACTTTGATACACATCAACTTTCCACGACGATTATCCATTCCGGGTGGCGGAGGAGCACCAACTCCTTTCGGTATCATTCCACTACCCGGTCCACCCATATTTGTTCTGTAATGCTCAGTTGTATAAATTGCAAAGTTAAATTAATGAATTAATCATTGCTAATTTAAACACACCAAACTCAAGACCATAAACAATCGCAGGAATTGAGTATTATTGTGAAATTTAATTTAAAGCAACACATAATATAAAGGTGCCATTGCACATTTTTCGAAAAAAAGATTAGGTATGAAAGAGCGGACAATATTATTAAGATATATTTAGCTCAGGTCACAAGGTCAGATCAATTCTTGTCTGGCGCTTATTGTGAAGAAAAGGAAATATTATCAGGCGTATTATTTTCCAACAATGTACATATATAATTTCAGTCACTTCATCTTTCAATATATCTATTTCGCTGAATTTATTTTCAATATTTTGTAAATTTTATCGCCAAGAAAAATTTATTACAACTTTAATATTCTCGGTTAATGAGAGGATTTTGCGTCAGTAACGGTTAAAATACATACTATGAAAGAGTTATAGATTCTTCACATCTGGCATAAACAAAAAAACGAACGATGCAAAAAAAAAATGAATGCCGAAAGCATAAGCAAAAAAAAAAAATTCACGAAATTCGTCCAAATATTTCAAATTATTTGCTCTAGAAAATGAAATATTCCAAGTTTAAAATTCATTATTTTCTTTCTGCTTTGATTTCAAATTCTAAAATTAAATTTCTATATGGAAAGAGAAGTAAGAAATTTCATTAGAGATATTAAATTTTTATGAAAAAATCTAACTTCTTTCAAAGACTATGCCATCTAATCAAATATTCAAATTTGCACTATGGAGAATTTTGAGAAACCTTAAGGGGGTGAAAAATTTTTACGCATACTAATTAGTAAAATATAAGCCAGATTCGTCACCTGTCACAGTATTTCAGAGAATTCAAGTTGATGTGCAAAAAAAAGAGGAGTGGAATGTGAGAAAAATGATATCCTCTTTGAATAACAAAAATTATTTTAATGCATATTTTCTGGAAAAAAAATAAAAAATATGGGAAAAAAGAAACATTTCGACAAACTCGACCTTTCCCTTTTTCATTTTACTACTATTAAATAAGGAAATTTAAGCCTAAAATGGATTCCTTTAAAATGCTGTATCATATATCTATCGAAAGTATCATACATCTTAATTGACTAGCATGCTACTGATAAAGATATTTCACACTATCAGTGTCTCATTGATCATTCCTGATAAGTAGAAAGTTTTTAATCATTATTACACAGCCGGACCTCCAACATTGCTTCATCTTTCTATCATTTTTTTTTGAAATATGAAATATTTTTCCCGCTTCTGTTTCTGATTTTTTCTTTCTAGACAAGAGCAATATAATTATACTTTAAGAGATAAAATTTTCAATTTGCAAGAATTTCAAAATCAAAAAATAACAGATTAAAAAAGATTGAACTTATTTGGACCGCAATAAAATTCATTAGCAAAATATAATAACAAAAAGTGCAAATAATCTAAGCAATTAATCCTATTTCTTGTCTCATTTATAAGATCAGAGATGATTTTTACAAAAGAGTTTAATAGAAATATTATTTTAAAAAATATTAGAAAATGATTGCGGAAGAAAGATTTGTGAAAATGGAACAGTAAATAAGAATGTAATCCTTGATTTATAAGAAATGAGAGGAAATGGAATGAATTGGTCCATTAAATGAGAATTAAGTTTTGAATTTAAAAAACAAAAAAAAATCAAATGAATGATAACATAGTGATTCCTTTATCAGTGATGATAATTTGGAATATTCTAGATGAGAAAATTGAAAAGATGAACAACAGCTGTTGTTGCTGCTGCTGCTGCTGCCATCATCAGGTTAGCTGGCTTTCTCTCGCCAACATCAACATCACATCCTATCGAGTTTGTCAGTGATCGAACCAGCCGAAATAAACTGAGGCAAAAGTATCTCTTCAATTTACGAAATGCTTTCAAATTATTATCACACACCAAACTTCCATCACTTTCACTTTCTCTCATACTCTTTTTTAAAATGTTATCTGTCTTTTTGCACATCTTTCTGCTCACTTTCATTTCCTGGATTTCTTTCCTGAAATGAAAGCTTCAGGCAGCACTTCCCGTGGGATCACTTACAGCAGTAAACAATTGACATCGCCATCATTATTATTATTATTAGTTCAGAGCCCATTATTTTCCATAAAACAATATCAACAAATTATTATTATTTAAATACGCAAAACAGCTTAATCATATAAACAATGATAAAACAAAGGAACAAAGAAAGAATTTGTAATAAATGATGATACAAATAGTGAATTAAACACTTGCCGAAAAAAATCACATTTCGATCTTATCACTTTTTTAATCAGAAATTATATTTACATATTTATTCAAAATTTTCGTTCAATTCTCAAAAAAAAATTGAAGAGATGGGAATTAAAGTAAGAAGGAAAAGAAGAAAAATTATACCGTATTTGACGAGGCTCAACTCGTCGTAAACTCATATTATCACGGCTGTAACATCTGTTCCAATCTTTTTCATTCCTACAAAACACATACATTACTACTTCGTGAACGTCAAAAGTGAGCCAAATTTTTAGCGCAATGCGAATATCATTTTATTAGCAAAATAATTCATATAAATAATTAGCAGAATGAATGTGATGATAATAATATGGGAATGATGATAAGATAGGATGGATAATAGTGATAAGAATGGGCGAGGAATGTAATATAATGGATAATGTACTTTTAATTTAATTTATGGAATACAAGCAGAGTAATTCGAAAATTTTAGCGCAAATAGCCAGTCATGAGGAGAAATAGCTGAAATACCATAAATAATCCTCTTCATTCTTCTCTTTCTTTACCGTTATTCTTCTTCCTCCTCTCTCTCTTTCTCTCTTTGTTTCTCTCTCTCTCTCTTTCCTTCTTCTATTACTCACTGCTCTCTTAGATATTGGATTAGCTTACTCATTTTCAAATTAAAAGAAAATTTTCAGAGACAGAGATTACAAAATCTTTTTTATGATAATAATAATAATGACAACGTATCATTTTAATACAAATTGACTTAAAAAAAGTTTTAAAAACACATAAAAACTTATCAATGATGGAAAACACTAACTGATAGTTTTGCAATTTATTAGAAATTAAATGTGATTTAGGCAAGTTCTAACGAACATATGTAAATATCATAGAAATTTCATTGAATGATGAATGGATGCTTGAATGATTAGTGATAACAAAGCAATAATCATATTGTCAGTTCATTTTACTTATCGAAGAGAAAAAAACGAAAAAGTTGAAAGATGTGATTAATATTCAACCATAAATAAACAGATAACTAACTTATCATTCAAGTAAATGGAAATTATCCACGCATCATATGATCATAGCGTAAATTTAATTCATAATTTGCAAGTGAAATTCTACGACATACAGCTAAATTGAATGGAAATTTTATGATGTTACTAATGCTTTTTGCGCAAATTAGCTAAATTTCAATTTAACAGTTTTCAAAATCAACTTGTACACAGTGATTATGCCTACTCTCCAATTTATGCAAATTTCAGAAGTAAGCTAAACATTTTGTTTAAGATAAACTATCGATCGAAATGATGGAAGAAAAAAGCTTATCATAAGCCCGGGGAAAAGCGGGAGATATTTGAGAGTAGGAGAGGGTATGAATAAAGCAATAAACTGGAAATTACCGTATGAGAGCAGTGAAAGTGAAGAAAAACAAAAAAACAAGACGGGAGAAAGATGAAAGAAAAAAATTTTTTGTCAGGTGTAATTTACAGATGAAACGACGTGTCATCGATAAATGATAACCTTGTACAGGTATGAACAGTTTAATGTCAATTAACAGCAACTCTTTCTTCCTTCTCTCTTCTCTTCACGCAACACTTCTCACAACATCTCTAACATTTTATTTATTTTTGGGAATTTTTTTTAAAACTTTAACAACTTCATTCCTCATCAAACATTTTCTAATTGATAATTCTTCTTTTCAATAAAGCGGAATTTTGAAAATTTTGCTTAATAATTACTCATTCTCAAGGAAAATTAAAAAGCATACATAGTTAGAATAATTCCCACTAATCTCATTAATTAAAAAAGCCTCAATCATGATAATTGCTATTTTCTATATGGATTTATAAGATTGCTTAAAATTTAAATTTGATTTAAATTTTATCCATTTAAATTGATTTCCTAGATTAAATACCTGTTATTTTAAACTTAGAATTTAAATAAAAACATGAAGTTCAATTGATTTATAGATATCATAATTCAAATATCTTAATTTGCAGTTTTCATCAATTCTTTTAACTCTATTTTGATTGCTAAATATATAAATAAGACATTTGATAGCTTTTTTCCCTTCCAAAGCAGTCAGTGAAATTAAGGAGTGCACGAGTATTCAAGAAATGAATATCTGTCGAATAATTGATAAATTGGAAGCTACAAAATTATGAATGCTTCAAAAAGATTGAAATATTTTCTTTTTTTCTAAAATGTATTAATACATTAATTTACAGAAAAAGAACTTCCAATGGTAAATTTAGAGGAATTAAAATTAACTTCAGAAATGACTGAGAAATTGGATTTTTGCGTTTGATTAACTGAACAATTGGTGACAATTAGAAATTATAATCAATAAAAGAAAATATGGAAATTCTCAAAGGACGGAAGAAATTTCGAAAAAAAGCAAACAAATATTTCAAAATGATGCGATATGGGAATTGTAGAACGATAATGAAGTAAAGCAAAGACTAAATGCTTCAGTTATTCAACGGAAGAATTGGAAAATAATTATTTTTGCAAATCGATTACTTAAATTTAGTAAAAGCAAGGAATTATTGATAATTATTTTTTTTGTTTTTGTTTACATTTCTTTATGTTTATTTTTGCTTATTTTTGTAATGAAAATCAAATGATATTGATAATGAGCAATTTCAAGCACATTTTATTATTCAGTTTGAATTTAGAGTGGGAAAAAACGATGAAATTCAAAATGAAGGATGAATA